CAGGTTGTCATTGGGCATGGGGTGTCACATCCCTGGGTCTTACTGTCCTTATCTAGACAATATAAAATGGAGCTGTGACTTTGTACCTCCTTCATAGAATTGCTGTGAGGAGTGAATGATATCACACATGAGAAGGGCCCAGCACATAGTGGGGTTCAGCACATCGTAACTTCCAACGTGAATGCTGTGTGTGAGCACATCAATGATGGTCGTCGTCATCACAACATCCAAAACAGCTTCATAGGGCACCTGGCTGACTCAGTGAGTTAAGCGTCTGCCTTCAGCTAGGGTCATGGTCCCAGGCCCCTGGGATTGAGTCCCGTGTCGGGCTCCTTGCTTGCAGGGAGCCTGCTTCGCCCTCTCCTCCTCACTCAGTGCTCTCTCTCACTATCTCTCTCTCTCATAAATAAAATTAAAAACAAAACAACAGCTTCATAGTCAAACTTTCAGAAGGTTACAGACTAACAAGAGAATGAGGACAAACTCTTCCTCTTGATTAGGTATCAGTTGATTCATCATCACCAAGGCGGGTACTAGCCAGCAAACGAGGTTATTCATAAATCTATTTCGCGGAAGACTTTGGCAAAATGTCCAACAACTGCAGGGTCTTTTAAGTTCTAGTGATTATGCCTGTTTTGAAACTAGCTATGCTGAATTCTTCCTCCTAGATAAAATGACTTCTATCTTAATTCATGTCTTGGACTTTTAATAGGCTATTTTGCTTAATCTTTGAATTTCTACTACAAATTTAAATTTCCAGTGGCTAACATTAGCAGAAACTTTCAAAAGAAGGCTGCCAAAGTTCTAACCTGTTTTTTTCTTTGCTGATTCTGGATAGATGCTTACAAGAAATTGCTACAGAACAAAGCACTGGTGCTCACTTCACACCAGCTGTTGATGGCTATGTTTTCATGGTACCTATCTTTCGGGCCAACTTACAATCTTACATTTTAAATTGGTGTAAACTAGATTATTGTGTCTCAGGATCAGAATGTACTACTGCAATGTTGCTTCGTGGTTATAAATCATTCATTGACTATCTCACTAACCGTACAGCACAACTGTAGTCCCCTTCTGACACAGGATGTGGTAGTTATCTGGGCTGTGTAACAAGTTACCCAAGACTTAGTGGCTTGAAAGAACATTTATTTTCTTTAAAGATTTTATTTATTTGAGAGAGAGCAAAAGCGAGAGAGATTATGGAGGGAGATGGAGAAGCAGACTCATCACTGAGTGGAGAGCCCGATGTGGGACTCGATCCCAGGACCCCGGGATCATGACCTGAGCTGAAGGCAGACGCTTAACCGCCTGAGCCACCCAGGTGCCCCTTGAAAGAACATTTATTATCTTCAAGTCTTTTCTGGGTCAGGTATCCATGTGCCACTTAATTTCGTCTTGTGGTTTGAGGGTCTTTCACAAGGTACAATGGAGGCAGCAGAGAGGGCTACAGTCATCTCAGAACATCTCAGAACATCTGCAAAGCTCCCTCAAGTGGCTGTTGGCAGGCCTCAGGTTCTCACCGGCTATTGGCTGAAGACTCTTGTGTCTTGCCACTTGAGCTTCCACATAGGGTTACTCACAACATGGCAGCTCTCTCCAAGAAGGAGAGAGTAAGAGATGGAGAGAGCAGGTAAGTGCTATGGTCTGATTTTTTGAGTGCCCCCCAAGTTGAAATCTAACCCCCGAGATGATGTTATTAGGAGGTAGGGCCTCTGGGAGGTGGTTAGGTCAGGAGGGTGGAACTATGATGAGAGATGGTGCCCTTATAAAAGCCACTGAGCAAGCTCCCTTGTCCCTTGTGAGGATACAACAAGAAGTTAGCAGTCTGCAACCTGGAAGAGGGTTCTCACCAAAACCTGCCCATGCTGGCACCTTGATCTTGGATTTCCAGCCTCCAGAACAAGAGATTTCTGCTGTTTATGAGCCGCCCAGGCCTACGGTATTTTGTTATAGCTGCCGGAACAGAGTAAGCAAGCAAGCAAGAATCCACTGAGTCCTTTTATAACCTAACCTCGAGAAAGACATCTCATCACTTTTGCTATATTCTATTTGTTAGAAGTAAATCACTAGGTTTGGCCCACACTCAGGGGTTGGGAAGCACTGGGAATCATCCTCGAACCTGCCTACCTCACAGGAATGCCACTGAAGGCAGTGCTCTGTAAACTAATCCTTGTGAAGGACCAGCTTTCTTTTTTTCCCAATCTGTTGTAGGTCAGTACTTTTGTAAAATAATTCATTTCTAAAAACATAACAGTGGCATAAAAAAGCAAACCCACTGATCATGTGTGGGATGTCACACAATGTCAGATTGCTGTAAAAACTGCTAAACACTCTCAATTCTATTACCTACCTCATTTGAACCAGAAACAGTTTGTGGGCTGGCACCAGTCTTGGACCATCCTTTGAGTAGCACTGACTTAAGGACTTTAACAAATGTAGGTGACTTTTCAAGGCTTTTACAAGACAATGCTTTGCACTTTTCACCTGGCTATTCCTGGAGGGAGGGATTTTAGAAATTTTTAAACACCTAAGTAGAAGTCATTCTTTCTAATTGCACCACTCTCTGCAAACCTAAAATTGGGACCTCTTGTTTTGATTAAAGTCAAGAGTGTGTGGGATTGATTCTGAGTCTCCTGTTTAAGATTTTACTGCAGAGTCCTTTATGTGCTCTCCTCTTCACCAATCTGTAAGCTAGAATTAAGATACTTTTGAATGAAGCAGTCTGACAAATATGATTGTCTAAGCACATTTTTAAAGATGAGGGGTCAACCCCCTTCCCAATTAATGTTACAAAGGAAGTTTGAATGTCCTTCCTGATGCTAGTCTATTATTCAGATCCCTCAAAACACCTCAAGTCTAAATTCCTCAATTCAACTGAAAAAAATATATTTTGATCACCAACTCTGTGTGCAAGATTCTGGAAGATATGACCTTGAGGAAAACACCATCTCTGTTCTCACCTGGTTTATAACACTCCCTTTAGGGTCATGTACATCTCATTATTTTGGCATGTGAGTACATTCTTTCTCTTGTTTCTGAGTATGTCAAACATCTCTATCTAATCTCTCAGCATCAGGCAATTTAGTAGGTGCTTGGTAAAAACCTGAGTTCAGTGGGCATGAACTGAACCCAGAACCTGAATCCCCTGTCCAGGGACTAGGTGCTGTGAACAAGGCTTTGGTCCCAAACCTCACTAATCTGGCGAGCATCTCTCTTCTAGCCTCTTTGTCACCCCCTAACCCATCCTTCAGGGTTTAAAGCAGAAGCAACTTTAAGAAGCCTGCTTCTGCCCCCCTGGCTCTCAGTGGGAAAAATGAAATCTCATGTGAACTTTCCACACTAGGCCCAGAAGAGAGAACCAGGTAGAGAATGGGACCTTTAAAAACAAGTCTTTCTTGCTCAACTCCTTACACAACTGCTAACCCTCAGTTGGTCATCTCCTCCTTCTCTCTCCCCCATCTGAGGAAAGGAGTGAGAGTTATAGTAAAAGCTACATTTGCAAGGCCCAGTACTGAGTACTATGTAGGCACAGAAGTGAGCCAAACAGGTTTTTTCCCCCCTCAAGAATTTACAATGGGCAAATGAAATCAATCCTCAACTACAAAACAAAGTGGAATGTGCCAAGTGTTGTAATGTTGGCATATGGAGAAAGCACTGTGGGAGAACAGATCGGGGAAGAGATTAATTCCAAATGGTGAAAACTCAGAGGATATATCTTTGGGGTTAAGCCTTGGAGGATGGGTAACATAAATAATGGGTAACATTCAAAAAACACTTCCTATACCAAGTGCTGTGGTTGGTGGTTTAGATGCATCTCATTTGGGGTTCACAACAGGTCTGCTAGGGACGTGCTATTATGAGTCCCACTTTACAGTGAGGAAACTGAGGCACAGACAATTTGTCCAAGGTCCAGGGTAGTAAGAGGTGGAGTGGAGGATCTGAACTCAAACAGGGTAATTGTAGAGCTGGTGCTCTTAACGATTACTTAACAAGCAAAGGAGACCAGAAGGGAAGGCCTGGCAGTGTGCAGGGAGTGTCCAAGGAACAGTGAGGGGTTGTGATGTTGGAGCGCAGGACCTGGAGGGCTGAGGTGTGGGGTGTGTGTGAGGAGGAACAAGGGTTTAGGTGGAGTGTTGTTTGATCTCAACAGCAGCTGTGGAATCTATATGTCAAACTCTGGGCTTTACATAGAATATTTCATCTGACTTAACCACATCCCTATTGGACAGGCACTATTATCCCCGTTTTACAGATAAGAGAACTGAGGTACAGAGAAGTTAAGCAACTTACTCAAGGTCATACGACTGGCTGATGGTGCGGCTGGGATATGAAATCAAGGGTCGGACTCCCGAACTCACTGTGCCAGCCAGTGTTCTCACTTCGTGGTAGCCCTTTGCATGCAAGCCCAGTGCCTCTACTTTTCCCCCAGTCTACACATCCTGTCCCTTCCCACCCACCTTTACTCCTGACCTCACGCCGCACATTCACCTACAGTCGCCCAGCCCACGAGCACTGAATCGGGACTACCTCGGGCCCCGAACAACCCCCTGGTCCCAGAAGGCTTTGCGTTTCGCCCGAATGAAGAGCTTTTGAGCCGGGGAGCCCCGCCCCCTGCGGGCTCCTCCCACGGCCGCGAGCCCGGGGCGGCTGTGGGCGTGTCCCCGGCGGCGGCGCCCGCGGCTCGGGGCGGGGCCTAGCTGGGGGCGGGGCCTGGTCAGGCGCTAGGCTGCGGGGTGGCAGGGCGGGCTGACACTCCTTGCAGGTGGCTCCTCTTCCGCCTCTCCTGACCACCCCCAGACGCCGCGCCGGCTGCCGTGGGAGCGCCTTTGTGTCCGGCCCCGAGAGCCCGCGACGGCCGCTGCGCGCCCGGGTCCATTGTTTCGCTTCTGTCTCTTCCGGGCAGGTGCCCGCGGCGCGCGGGGCCCGCACGTGCCAAAGCGGCGGCAGGAGGGCAGGGACCCGCGGGCGCCGGCAGGGGCGTCCCGGGCGCGCGGCGCGAGATGAAGTACTTGAAGCCTTGGTGGTCGGACGGCGGCGGCCTCCTGCACCTCACCATCCTGCTGAGCTTGGCGGGGCTCCGCCTGGACGTGGACCTGGACCTCTACCTGCTGCTCCCGCCGCCCACCCTGCTCTGGGATGAGCTCCTGCTCGCTGGTGGCCGGACGAGCTCCGCCTACGCGCTCAGCCCCTTCCCGGCCTCGGGAGGGTGGGGGCGCGCGGACCAGCTGCACCCCAAAGGCCGCGAGCCGGACCCCGAGGCGGAGCCCGAGGGCCGGCTGCTTCGGGAGGTTTGCGCGCTGGGGGTCCCCTTCATTCCCCGCACCCGAGTGGATGCGTGGCTCGTGCACAGCGTGGCGGCCGGGGAAGCCGACGGGGCCCACGGGCTGCTCGGCGCCGCAGCCGCCGCCTCCTCCGCCGGAGGAGTCGGCGCCAGTGTGGACGACAGCAGCCAGGCTGCGCCGGGGGATGGCGGGGACCCCCGAGCGGCTGCAAGTAGCCCCTTGGCAGCCGGGGAAGAGGAGAAGGCACCGGCAGAACCGACGGCTCAGGTGCTGGACGCCGGCGGCCGCGCGAACCAGGTAACAGGAGAGCGGGGACGCGAGCGCTGGGGGGAGCTGGCCAGGAGCCCTGCAGGCTTGTGACGGACCACAACCGCTCTGCTTCCACCCTCGGCCCCTGGTGGTTGCAGTTTCGGACCACGCTTGCCTCCCCTTTTTGTGAATCTAAACGGAAGCTGTTAGTGCGGTCGCTATGGCTTTCAGGTGTTTGAGAAAGAAGTAGGTGAGATCATCCGTTCGGTTGTAGAGGATACCTTTCCTGTGTTTGATGGCCGTCAAGAGTAGTTCGGGGCTGCGGAGGGGAGAAGGGATGCTGGTAGTTTTCTTTCCTACGGTCTTCGTTCTGTACCTCGTGACACGGAGATGTCTTTTTCTGGAACCAGAGGATCCAAAAGAGGCCTTGGCCACAGGGAGGACGCCTTTCTCTTAACCCATGCTCCCCGGTCTAACGTGATGGCCCCTGCCCAGATTTCAACCGAGTTGCAGTTCGTTTTTGCTGCTTACCCTGGATTAAGGAGCCGTGGCCAGTGTTCAGTTCCAGGCCAATTGGCAGACGGTCCCGCTGTGACCTAACCAGCCCCGGCGCCTAACGACCCTCCTCCCTCTGGAACATGTGTAACTTTTTTTGTTTGTTTTTTAAGGTTTTATTTATTTGAGAGAGAGAGGGAGAAAGCAGGAGCGGGAAGGAGGGGGAGAGGGAGAGAGACAAGCAGAGGCCCCGCTGAGCAGGGAGCCCCACCCAGCCGATCCCAGGACCCCCAGACCATGACCTGAGCTGAAGTCAGTCATTTAACCGACTGTATTAACCCCAGGTGCCCCATGTGTAACTTCTTATGAGCACAAAGAAAGCAGGTACCCTGACAGTCACCTAGTGACTTAACAAGTGCCCTCTGGTTTATGGTTTCAGATCCTTTTGAAGCAAAGTTCACTGAGATTGACTGATGGAATATCTGTGTGATGCTCCCGTTGGCTCTTGGAGTCTAAAGACACTTATTACCAATTTTTACAAAAATGCCTTACCCAGAGTTCCTTCAAAGGGACCTTTTTAATATCTCGGCCCAAACCATAGTATTAGCAGTCGGTATCGATCAACAGGTGTTCCTTGGATGTTTTTGTGGGGTGCAATCTTATGCAAAATGGGAACTGGGGCTAGACAAGTTTGTTTGCTGCTCTTCAGAATTGCCCTGTTTGTGTAGGCAGTTGCCAGACGAGCTTCTCCACCCTCTCCCAGAGGGGTCATTGTGCCGAAGTGCTTGTGATTCACTGTTATGCAGATCTGATCCCTTCCTTTTCCTGAGGCCGGAACTAATGGGGTGGGGGTTACCGAGAGTCTCGGTGGGCTTCTGTCCAAAACAAAAAGTGGAAGGTTCTTCCCCCTCACTTAACCAGTCCCGACCTTCACCTGAATCTTCTTCCTAAGGAATGGTGCGTGCTGCACTACAACCTTTTCAGATCCTGGAACCGGGGTATGTGTGTGTGAAACCCAATGCACCGTGCTGTGGCAGATGGCACCCTCCCCTCCTCCGCTGGATGCCACCCACCTTGCAAAGCATACCAGGGCCTGGAGGGAGGTGTAGCTGTTCGCTCTGGGAGGACTTCTTTCCCCTTCTCGGCATTACCTATTTGGACTGGCAAACCTGCTTTGGGGGAAGCTCTGGGGGCCAAGGACCGGCCACACCTCCATGGAGGGTTGAGGCCCGCTTTCCTAGGGGGGAGGATGAAGTTCATACGGGGCCAGTCTCCTGGTGTAGCCTTCCCCAGCTGGCATGTGTGGGCCTGCTGGACCGTGATAGCTGCTGGGGTGCCCTGGGTAGTTTCGTTCCGGCGATGATCCGCTGTGGAACACCTTACAGTTTTCACAGCCAGTTCACCTTTGTTGGTAACACCTTTTAAAAAACAAACAAAAAAGCATAAGGAGCTTTTATCTGGTTGTAAGTTTGTATGTATTTGGTAATACTTTTTTTTTTTTTTTTACATCAACTTGAGAGAGGTAGGCAGGTGGGGCATCCGTCTATCCAATTTGTACTAAAGCAAAATAGAGGCCCAGCGAGGTTAGGGCACTTGGCTAAAGCCACACAGTTAATTGATGCCAGAAGTGCAACCAGACAGAACCTGAGCTTCCTGACTCCTGTGCTAGCACATTAAGCCCCTGTGCTGTACCCCAGGTTCTCCGACCCAGCATGCAGCTGGCGTGGGGTGATGCCCCCACCCCCACTCCTGACCTCAGCACCACTGCTCTCCAATGCTGGATTGACTTTTATTTTTTTATTTTTATTTACTTTTTTTAAAGATTTTATTTATTTGAGAGAGAGAGAATGAGAGAGAGCACGAGAGGGAAGAGGGTCAGAGGGAGAAGCAGACTCCCCGCTGAGCAGGGAGCCCGCTGTGGGACTCGATCCCAGGACTCCAGGATCATGACCTGAGCCGAAGGCAGTCGCTTAACCAACTGAGCCACCCAGGCGCCCTGGATTGACTTTTAAAAAAGCAGATTGTACCATTCGTAATACCGAGCTTACAATCTGAAACGTTGACTTGGGAAAACAGCACTGGGATTTGCCGTCAGCAGACCTGGGTTTAGGGCCATCACTTAGTAATGTCAGGTGGGAGAGTGCTGCTTATTTCACGGTTTGTGCGAATTAAATGGGGAAAGCCTGCGTGAAGCGCCAGCCCAGTGCCTGGAATGTAATTGCTGTTCCTTTGCCTCTGTTCTCAAGCCACCCTCCTTGACCTACCCCCACTCCCTGCATTCGCTTTTCTCGTTTATGAGTCCGCCCCGGTTGTTTGCTTGCTAAGGGGGTGTGGTGTGTTGCGGCCAGACCACCTGGTTTTGAATCCCAGCTCTGCTGCTTACAGCTCTGTGACCTTGGGCCAGTTTCTTCACCTGTCTCTGCTTCAGTTTCCTCACCTGCACAATGGGAATCATCAAGGGTGCCCCCCACATAGGGTTGAGAATTCATTCATTCCACGTCAGAGGCTTAGAAATGTGCCGGTCACGTCTCGAAGCACTTAATAAAAGTTAGCTGCTGTTAACTTCGAAAAGAGGGAGTGCTTTGTCCTCCGGGAACATCAGAGGTTTGTGGTGTTTGTTTTTTAAATAGATAATTACGGTGGCTTATATATGAGTTGTAGGAGATTCTGGTTGTAGAGGATAATTTTCCATAATTTTTGTACATTTGCAAAAATGTCTTGGAGTGGGGGATTTTCCAGGTATCAAAAGAGGTACTGCTTTGGTTTCACTTCTTAGTGGGGCCAATCATTATCTGAAAACAGAATCCGGAATTCCCCAGGGCAGACCTGCTTCCCTTGAAAACCACAGCCATTCACTCACAACCGATGGCGCGTGTGTTTTCAGAGTAAGGCACGGGTTAAATGAGGACTTGAACAGTTTTTGCAGATTTGACTGTGTGAGCATATTTGAAGGTGGGTGACTGCCTGTAGCCAGCACCAGTGTTTTAGAGCACTGTCTCCACTTTGAAGCTGAGAGGCTTGTAGTCATCTCAATAATGGTTTCAAGCCCCAGAACCAGGACCCGGTGATGGGTGAGGGGTCCCGTGGGACCTCGTGGGATGGACCGGGTTTCTTCAGGTCACAGGAAGAATCTGATACAATCAGGACTCGCTTCTAAGAGTAAAGGAAGAGGAAGAGCTCCTTGATTGTTAAAATTTGTTTTTCATTTCAAAAGCAAAGTTAATCCCCGGTGCCTAGGCAATTGGAGATAGATGAAATTTCAAACACTTGCTTGTTTTTAACTCACAACTGTGGTACAGAGATAGTCTTAGACATTCGTACAACTCAGTAGAACAAAGTTTCAGAGGAGGCTCTTTGCTTACCTAAGGACTCGATAAAAATTCACCTGTCGTCTTGTGGGGAGAGATGGCATGCATCACTTACTAGTGTCCTAGGGCAGCAGTAATAAAATGCCACCAACTGGGTGGCTTGAACAGAAATTTACTGTCTCCCAGTTCTGGAGGTGAAAAGTTGGGAATCAAGGCTTGGTTCCTTCTGAGGCTGAGAGGGAGGCTGTTCCAGGCCTCTCTCCTAGCTTCTGGTAGTTTGCTGGCAATCTTTGGTAACCCTTGGTCCTTCCCTCACTCCCTTCCATTTTAGTTTTAAGGAATCTCCACACCCAACCTGGGGCTTGAACTCACAGCCCCAAGATCAAGAGGCGACCCTTGGTTTCCACTGAGTCACCCCAGTCTCTGCCTTCACCTTCACAAGACATTCTCCCTGTGTGCTCATTTGTATCCACATTTCCCCTTTTATAAGGACACCAGTCATACTGGATTAGGGCTCACCCTGCTCATCTTAATTACATCTGCAGTGACCCAGTTTCCAAATAAAATCACATTCTTAGGTACTGAGGGTTATGGCTTCAACATGCGGATTTCGAGGGACACAAGTCCTCATGCCCCTTTTCCTGGCAACTCATGCCCCTGTTTAGCTTGCTTTTAGCAAGTAGGCTGCAACAATTTCTGGAAGCAGCTGGGCTAAGTGTAGGATTTGGTGTATGTTCATGAGCAAACCTGGGTTGGTTGGTTGGTTGGTTGGTTGGTTTTTTGCTGACTTCATGTGCAGTTAACCCCAAGGAACCTTACTTCCAACTTTTTGCAGTCAGTCCTTCACCTCAGTTTGTGGTTTACAGAAATCTCCCCTCTCCACTGTCCTTTTAATCATTTGGCTGCTCTCCATTTTCCCCTGCTTCTCAGCTCAGAAGTCAGAGTGCAGGGTCCAGGCCCCAACTCCAGGGCAGGCCGGGCTAGTGGTCAAGTGTGCTTGGTGCTGGGGTCAGACTAACTGGGGTAGCTGCAGATCTTGGCTCCACTGGTGACTGGTCGTATGATCTGGGGCACACTTCTTAACCTGTCTGTGCCTTGGTTCCCTTATCTGTAAAATGGGATGGTAAGAGTACCTTAACGGAGTCGTTGTGAGAATTAAAGGTGATCATACAGGTTAGCAGGTTGGTACATAGTAAGCCCTCAGTAACGTCAGCGACTGCTGTTAATTCAGCTGGGGCTGTAGTG